CAAACTCCTGGCAGAGACCACAGAAAACTGACTGATGTGCTATTCATCACTCTCACCAAATATATCTGTGCGTCTCTGCCCAGAGCTGCATGTTCCAAATTCACTAGAAGCCCTAGGTCTGCCATCCTGTGCTTTGCTCATTGAATCTTTGGGCATGTACCTTATAGAATGATTCCTTGTCATTAGCATGACCTGCCTGCACATATTTTGTGTGAACAAACTAGTTCACTCCATTTGTCAATCTGTCAGGGCTGATATTTAAGTGGGAGTCTGTGCATATCCCATGTGCATGTCTTTTTGCTTCAGTTACACTTCTCTGCCACTAGAGGTTTGTGTATACACACGGTCAGGGGTGTTCATAAATATATGCACATTTCTATGCACAGGAATTGATAAATACCATTCTATGTGTAAAAACGTGTGTACGAATGCTTTATGCCACAACTGTATGTAAGCACAGTTGACAAATGAGACCTAAGGTCTGGGTGCGAGAACTCTATTGATGGAAAGAAAAAAACATTCAACTATTCATGGATCAAAGGACCTCAGACATTTTGATCAGAAATTAAAGACTTTTCCCTTATGCTGTTTGATCAGTAAGAATAGTTGTTTTGGTCCTCTGTGCTTAGATGAAGCAGAAGGGTTTTATTGCTGTTGGTAAAAATGGATTTGATTCTGCTGGGTTCAATATTAGGTAAAAGTAAAAGGTTAGCTTCTGAAAAACATCATCAAAGCAGAGGAAATGCTTGTCAGAAAATATCTGTAGAATGAAAAGGGGCAAAAGGAAGAATTTTTTCATTGTTATGCTTTTTAACACGTCACCTTTTAGGGAATGTATTATGTTAAATTATAAATTAATTTATTGAACCTTTACTGAATAGTGTTTTATGGATTTAATACTGATTTAACTGATGTTTTGTCGCCCACTGATTAACATAGACAAACATTTCTGGAAATTAGACCGGGGACATCCTGTGCAAGGCTGCAGTGATGTTTACCATGTTGTAACTTCTACAGTCTTTTTCCTTTGTTTAACTTTCTGGGCTGTTCTGAAGCTGTATACTTATATTTCTTGTACAGTGGAGGTCATACCTGCTAAAATGAACCACCATAACTTTTACCTGGTTTGAATCAGGGTATAGTCCATCTGCTTAATGCACAGACATGTCAGTGAAGGCCAGTAATTGTCTGATATTTGATTATTGTAATAAAGGGTCCCCTTTGCAAGCCAAAAGGATGAGCCTTTTTGTTGTTTAAGCTGCTTTCAGTCAGTTATACAGGAATAGTGCTGACATCTGCTGAACTTCAGCCTAGATGCTGATATCAGTGACATGGATATAAGGGGCGTGCTCTCCCTGGGGGGGGAGTAAATGATGATTCTGCATTTGAAGTGTCACCATGGCAGCCTGCCCTCATTGTTTGGGCCAACCACTCGGAGCTGCAGCAATTCATGCACTTTGAAGGAGCCAGAAGGGCTTTGGCAGGCTTGAAGCTTTACTGTTACACACAGAGAAGGAGATCAGAGTGATGCTGATGTCTGGCTCATAGACCAGGCCGCAGGGCCACTTGCTCTGGTGCCGAGCAGAGGGTTGCCAGAGCTGTCTGCATAGGTGGGCTCCAGCAGAAGGGAGCTGGAAGGATGCTAAGAAAAGATATCATTCATTTTCCCGTGAAATAAAATATTTAATGTTTTAGCAAGTGTTCTTCTGGCAATGTGTTGGCACCCCAATGCAGGACCACCTTGCAGTGTTCAGTGTGCCTGTGAACCAGTGTGCTTCTCTTTCTCACGGTAGCTAGGGTAGGTCCTGCCTTGCAGGTGACCACGAGTCCCTTGGCACAGAATCAGCGCTTTACTTTGATCTGATGTAACTTAAAAACTGCTCTTAGTGTGACTCTGTAAGCACTGCCCCACAATGCCGCCCACAAGCAAAGGCAGCATGGAAATTTCAGGTCAGATGTTTGTCGCTCTGCAATAACACCTGTCAGTATGTGCAATTACTCAGCTCTGACAGTGACTTTATGCAGACTCACTAAGCCACAAGCAGTATTCTTGCTCGCTGAACCATTGAAAATGTTCAGCTCTTAAACGAGACACCATTTCCACTGACGCCAGCTGTAAAGCTATGAGAGCTGTGCCTCTGGGAGACATGGCTAACAATGTGTTTTCAAAGGGTTCTAAGCCTTCACTCTCCTGTTTATTTAATCATATTCCCTCCATGCCACTTCTGCCCACCCACAATATTCCTTGTTTATTCTCTGTGGATTTCATCGGTTCATGGTGTTCTGTTCCTTGATAAATTTGCATAGCACTTCTCTTTTTCAGCCATTTAATTTTATATTCCTTTGACCTTGTGCTAGCATCTCTTTCCAGGCCAGCAAACACTCTGCTCTTGATGTGAATCCTATAATATCTGTTTGCCAGATAAGAGTTATTGATGTAAATATGAAGCTTCTAGACATTGGATGGATCCATTCCTGTATTTGCAGACATACCTACTGCTCCAGTCACCTCCCCACACTGACCTGCTTCCACCATACACTCCTCACCCCCTCCTCACCATACAGTAACCTGTTTCCAAACCTGTGCCAGCCACATCCTTCCTTCCCACCTTCCCCGCTTCACACAAAACAGAAAAAGAACCAGATCTGTGCGTTAAAACCATACATTTCACAGTAAAACAAAATATAATGAACATGTTTTATACAAACTAAAAGGTTTTATATGAAATAAATACATTGTTCATTAAATATTCTTGATATATTTATGTTTATAGGTTTCGTAAAATCCTCCTAATTCGATTTCATGCACATCATCAGTCAGCTGAAAATCAGGCAGCAGCACAACACCCAGGGGAGAATGTGCCTCATGTTCTCAGAATACTTTAATTTATTCTGGCAGGACATGATGCAGGGGACATCCTATACAGGATGCCAGTCCATGCTAGAGGCATGAGGCAGGGGACATCCTATACAGGATGCCAGTGCATGCTAGAGGCATGAGGCAGGGGACATCCTATACAGGATGCCAGTGCATGCTAGAGGCATGATGCAG